TAGATACGTCCAAGCGAATGATCTTTCTTTACCTGTGCAATGGAACAGGAAACCCTTGGGCAGGACACAGCAACGTCATCGCACCACCAAGGGACACTTTAAAAGTCTGCGAATCGTGTAACGACGGAAATTTTGGACGGGTGCTTGCAACAGACTCTACGAAATATCGGAAATAACACGAATACTTGAAAGTGTGATATAATATCTATATTAATATCTATACACAATTTGGTTAATAAGAATAAAATATCGTTAGTTGACATTAATTTGTACTTCCCTACTTCCTATTTTGAATTCTTGCTACTCTATGAAAGTATTTACGAATTTGTCTTATTTATTTAAAAATTCAAAAATTGATTTATTTATTTTGATATTCGACAAAATGATCACGAATCAGAAGAAATAAAAGAAAAGAATACGAATATTCCTACTACCTCGTACATTTCATCTTTAACTCCTTTCCTTTGGTATAGCAGCCGTGCATTAACGCGCTTCGAATTAATCTATTTCAATTTTTTATATCGAAGATATTTTCTGTACCTGAAAGCTGGAACGGGAAAGGCTTGAGCCGGACATGGTAGACTCAGCGATTCGTTGCGACGAACCGTATACGTCGTATAGGTACGCGAATTCTCTGTCATCGGGAATTTTGGCTTTGTGCTGGCGACTGGTTCTGTGAGAAAGGACTTTCATTTGGGTGTGATTGTCATGGATCGAAAAGACAAATATTATTTTTGGCAATCATTTTCAACCCTGTTGCATGAAATCATTCAATTTCGCTGGGGCAGGGTAATCAATTTTTTAATTAATTTAATTAATCGCAGATATATCTATTGCAATAATTTCATTCAATTTTGATTGAACTATCACACCCGAAAGTTCTTTTCATACACAAACCTCCAATCGAGTAATTTCATTTTCCAATTTTAATATCTAATCTTATAATGTATAATACAATGACCTTGTCCCACCTATACAATGGAATAGGAAATCCTTGAGCAGGGCACAGTAAAGTTAGAGGGTTGCCACTTTTAGCAATAAATCCACGAGAGTTATCCATCGTTGGAAATTTAGGACGAACACTTCCTACGGGCACTGTGGATTAGAACGAGAGAAAAATAGAACGTTGAACGTTCCCATTGAAATACAAAAATGCTTTCTATGCAAGGACAGGGAACCTAGCAACTAGAAGAGCTCCTCTTGCTGCCCGATTTAAACGCCTCTCTACTTTTTCAGAAAATACGTCTACGTTTATCTTCTTTCAACGTGTGCCATTATTTCACTAAATGAATTCTTTAGCAACGATCAATATAAATGATTTCCTTCGCCTTCGTACTTTCACTTTGCTATTGTATTCGTTTCATCAATTAATATTATTGTTATTGGTCAAAGATTTTCATATCGATCGTACCTATAAGTCGGAACCGGAAATCCTTGAGCGGGACAGAAAAGGGAGAGACTGTCGTTCGTCTTCGCTGAAAGTCCAATCAGGTTGATCGTACTCGAAAGTTTAGGTCGTGCACTTGCCACAGGTTCTGTATATTTATGTCCCCCCAAGTGAGATTACAAGAGAATAATTACAATCGTTGAATAGTAATCCAAACTATTTGACAATTCGCGACTTACTTGTGTACGGGAACAGGGAACCCTTGGGCTGAACAAGCTAGAGTAACTGAACCGTCTTTGATCGTACGAAATCCTCTAGTATCATCTATCGTTGGAAATTTTGGACTCACGCTACCAACGGGTTCTGAATAATAATAGTAATAATAATAATACTGATGATGATAATAATCGCCAAATTTGAAACTCGTGTTGAAAATGTGTCTTATGTACCTGTCTACTGGGACAGGTATATCCTAAGGGTTATAATTTATCGTGGAAGGTATTGTCGACAAATCGAAATTATTGAACTTAAATCTACTATGATCGTACCTATGAGATGGGACAGGAAATCCTTGAGCAGCACACAATAGCGTCATACTTCCACCTTGGTACGTCATGAAACCGTTTATGTTCGACATAACCGGAAACTTCGGCCTTACACTGCCAACCGGTTCTAAAGAACCGATAAGATCGAAATTAATCCAAATCTAACGACGCATTTTTCTTTACCATTAAGGGACAGGGAAACCCTGATAGAACTTTAAAACGAAACGACTCAAATATCTACAGCACCGTACGTGAACAACATTCTAATTCTATCATTCTAGTACTACTAACGGAAACCCTCGAAGCAGAATAGAATAATCGTATTTCTAATCCTTAATATCTAACTATGAATTATCTCTGTTTGTAGCAACCATAAATTTTTTCTTTTTTGTATTCGAAAGGAAAAAGAGCGAAAGACAGAGATAAATAAACGGATAGACGAGAAATAAACGAGACATTCTAACGATTTTAAGGCTCGACTTACTTGTACACAGGAACAGGGAAGCCCTGAGCGGGACACAATAAAGTGACCGAACCATCCATGGTTGTTCGGAAACTCCTGGAGTCGTCAATCGTTGGAAACTTTGGTCTCACACTGCCGACCGGTTCTGATTGTGTCGCGTTATTAAAATTGATTTGTTATTACCTACTTATTACTTAGATATCGACCTATTCATACTGCTGTCATATTTTTGTTCTCTACCTGTGCAAAGGAACGGGGAACCCCTGTGCTGGGCACAACAGGGCTTGCGAACCGTTGACTAGTGCTCTGAAGCCACGGATGTCATCTGTAGAAGGAATCTTTGGACGTACGCTTCCAACGGGCTCTAGAAAGTATACCTATGTTTAGAGATTTCTAATAACCTTTCTAATATCTTTTTGCTACTCCCTAAATCATAATAACAAAATGGAACAACATGGTGGAATCAAAGTTATTAAAAACCGTAGAACGTTAAGATCAAGTGAAATGGGTCACCCGCAATATCGATCCTTAAACGATTGTCGTATTAATTTGACATCAATAGATGTCACATTCCTGCGTTTATCGATCTTCGACTCGGTATTTCCCGATGGTGTCTCTGAGAATATACGGAAAAGCTCTGACGAGAGAAATGGAACGTCGAATATGTAGAACATCAAGTCCCATTCTCTCTAACGGTTTTGAAAGAGAACATCGATCCGAAAAGAAATATCAGTTATCGTTATTATTATTATCGCTTATTTTAATTAAATTCAATTTCGATAATAAAATAAAGTGTTTAAAAGATTCTACTTCATCATTTCCTTATTTTCTCGACACCATTCGGTTGGCACTTAAATAAAAAATTATTCCTTTCGTGCCTTCTAAACCCTTTATCAAGATTCCGCTCCTTTTATTGACCCGCTTACAAGACCGACGCGATACGATAGAAAATATCGTACCTATAAGATGGAACCGGAAATCCTTGAGCAGGGCACAGAAGCGGTATATTGTCACTGGAACTCGTTGAAAGTCCATTTATATTGTCCATACTTGGAAACTTTGGTCGTACACTCCCCACAGGTTCTGCATAACGAAAAGATCGTAGAACCTTATACTTTATTAATCAACCCTTTCCTATTTTGGCCACTGATCATGATCATTAGAGCATTCTAATCCTTGTTATCTCATTTACATCACTGTTTCGTATTTAATATATATATATATATATATATATATATATATATATATATATAATTGTACATTTGTTTTTATTACCCATTTAAAAGACAATTCGATCCACGAATAAAGGACTTCGACCAGCGTTTATGTTCCATCAATCGTTGTGACACATTTTGTTCTCCATCAATATCATAAAAGTGGAACAATTAAACACTCAACGAAGCTGAAGAATGCATTGTTCGATAACGATAGAAAAATATTTCATTTTTCAGTAAAAAATAAAAAGGAAAGAAAAGAACAACAAATGCAAGAGACAAAGAGCAAAAACGAATAACAGCTTCTTTAAGTGTTACGTCCACATTTCAAAACTATGACTCGTTCGAGAGACGTTAAATTATTTTATAGAGAACTTACCACGCGAGAGCGAAGGTCAGAGCCCGGAGATCGCGAGAGAACGTCGTTAAGAAACGAAAGAATTTTGCGCTTCGATCATTGATTCTTTTTTCTTTTTCTTTTTTTTTTTTTTTTGTTTTGTTTTTCCTTCTTCAAATGTAATTTTCGTAACCGATCATGCCAAGAGTCAAGTTTTGGGCGGGCGGTGGCGCGTGCCCGCAGGGGTACCCTGTCCCAGCATTCAGGTTTACCAATCAACTCGATCCTTTGATGATTCTTTTGAAAACAATGAAATTGTTGTATTAACTTACGATTTGAGGAAATCAAATATGTACATCATGTTTCTTATATTCTAAATAAATTAATACATTCAATCACTTCTATTTTTACTCCAAATTGTTACAAAAAATAATGAATAATTGCAAAACGATCGAGCTAATTGGCAAAAAAGTCCAGATGTATAATTACATTATATAAGAAAATTAATTTTTCAATAAAAATATTGCTAAAATATATAATATATAATTAGTAAAGAATTTATCATTTTTATTCTATTCATATTCTAACATTTGTAAATTGGTAGAAAAATTAATTTTCTTTTCAATAAAAATTTCGAAACCAGACGTATTTCCATGCATACAAAAATTCTAATATTTGTCGCTGTCTCAAATTGAATTAATGTGTCATTATGCCTGTAAACAGAATTATTTCTGACTTTACTACAAAATATTACTCGAATTACAACGAATTGTCATATAATTATTTAAACATATTCGTCGTATGATACATATAATTAATGTCAAATAATTATTAAGCGAGATTGTATCATCGAGACGTCTGGATTCAAAATCGAAAGTACGATTCTGATTTACGTAGATATAGAAATGAATAAATGAAAAATTAATTCCAAACTCGATAACATCATTCTTCGAATTTGATAATACAATATTATTAAGGATAAATCTTTAAAAAAAAAAGCCATCAGAATCGTTATTTCAATGTGAAGGTAGAAAATTTCTATGCTTCGACTTACCGGTAATGACGAGACGTCCCTTAGTAGCAGATAATCTTGTTTCTCCGGTGAGTCTGTGTTTCGTGCGGCATTGATAGGTCTTGTATCCGTCTTCAGGTCCAACATCTCTGATGTGCAGTTCTCCAGAGGGTAAAACCAAGTATTTTCCATCTATTCCGAAAACCCCCCGAAAGGAAAAGATTAATAATCTTTATTTCAACTTTATCACAAAATCGTGCAAATCAAAACGACTGATACTCGATTGGTAAAAATTTATATTTAAAATTAATTTATATTTAAAATTCATATAAAAATAATAACGTACTCAAGAAATAAAAAAGTAAATTTTTCGTAAAACATTCAATCGAAATAAAGTTCAATCACTTTGAAAAAATGTGCACGATACTCGAACATTCTTGCGAACATTCGAATACAATGGACGATTAATTGAACACACTTGCATGCATGCCACACTACGATCCTTGTTTCCCAAGTGAGTCGAACATTGAATACCGAGAGATTTCGTATCTATTTCCTACTTCAATCGTCCGACACACACCGCTTGGGAGTTCCAACACGTTAATGTAACGACAAGAGGAAATATTGTAAACACATTCGACGCTTAATTAAATGTATTGTTTGTTATCAACTAAATACAAGGCCGATAACATTTATTGTATTCGAGTATTATTATAAGAGTTTCACATTATTTCCTCCGACCCTTTGCACATTGAGAAACGTTAAATTTAATAAACTTAATAATGTTTTATAATATATGTATTTACATATTTGTTAATATACGTTGTTTCAAATTCACCATCAATAGAAAGTTAACCATGTATAGATAGCGGTCAATTTAACAAATATATATAAAATTGTGCTTTGAAAACGCAACATATATTACTTACTCTGTCATAATAGAACATTGATATACTTTTCTAAGTACAAATTGTAATTATTTCAATGAAAATAAATATTTTTTCGTGTATACGCATAATTGTTAATAAAATCTATCTTTCTAATACAATTTTTGAACGACTATATCTCTCAAATAAATTATTATTCTATTATGAACTTTTTAAACGATAACCACATGGTTTAGTGAAAAGGGTCCATTGTTGGAATTATTTTGTTAACATTTCCCTATGTCATGCTTTGCAACATTTGAAAATTTTAAGAAACAATTTATTTTCTAGAAAATATTATAATAAAATTAATTTATTTTTAAGTCTGTTTAACTGAACGTTAAGTTAAATTAAATCTAATATTTATGAATATAAATATATAAATATTTATAGATATACACATGTGAATGAGAAAATCTGCCCTAATAATTAACAATCTGTTAAAAATGGAATCAGATATTATCTGTCGCAAAATAGGACATATGGAACAAATTAATCAAAGTCATGCAGTTGAAAAGCAAACTCAAGCGATTACAACACTACAAAACATTTTAATAATTATAAACTTATAAAAAAGGATTTTTAGGAAGGGCGTGCTTGGGAAAGGATAAAAAGATAAAAAAAAAGAAAGAAAGAGAGATAAAAGGACAAGAGAATGTCTGGGACAGCGCGAGCAGCGGCAGTCAACGTCGTACGAATTTATTCCGAAAGAGATTCGATACGCTTGGTAACAATACACGAAGTTCTCGAAAACGACGCTTATATGTACCCGGCTTCGAAACGTTCGAAACGTAAGAGAAGAGCGCTCGAATAGAACGGGAATTCTCCATCAGCTTTCTAGAATTATATAAGATTATGAGAAAAATCGAGGAAAGGGTCGATCGACCGAATATGAAAGTACACCCAAAGAAAAAAGAGAAGAAATCACGCATTCAAGAACCTTACTGAAATTCAATCTCCTGACATACTTGTTGAATTTTCTTTTCCTGACTTGAGCTAGGAGGAGTATCGTTCGTCAAGAAAAACGAAAATAAAAAATCAAAAGAAGCAACAACAACGATCTTGCACGTCAGACCCTTTGCGTGTTGTTATACGATAAATAACGTTAATTAATTTTCATGCTAACGTCAGAGATAAAAAATCTTCATTATCGATATGACAATTAAATTGGGATGGTCAATTAGATGGTGGTCGAGAGTAATCTTGATATTTACTGAAAAAGTTTTGTTCAACGAACTTTAACTTTCTCGATAGTTCCTTTAATTTTCTCTTTTTTTTAATTTTATTTCATTTCATTTCATTTCATTTTATTTTATTTTATTTTATTTTATTTTATTTTATTCAATAGAAGAAGAAACATACGACGAAGAGAAAAGTCAACGGTCTAAATCTAGAAGCTTCTTCGAAAGTCGATTAAAGTATGAATCAGGGTGAACTTTCGATGATCACCGACATTTACGATGCATACAAAGGACAGGACAAGACGACAAATATCGTTTCACGCGAGTTGATATTTCTTTCTGTTAAATGTGTGTACCATAATCAGGGCTAGGATAAATGTCAGTGGTATTGTCTTCGATCCAAGAGTCGACTTCCACGAATTCGGCGACGAAGCTCGGTATGTGACACTTGATAATAGCGGCGTTCCCCCGTAGGACGTGTTCGTCCATCACGTTCACTGCATACCGCTGCCCGACAACTGTAACCAGACATCGGTTTCCGGTTTTACCATAAAGATGCAAATCTTCTACACCGTGTATTCTACTGATCAATAAATACGATCGATAGCTACATCAAATTCTTTTTTTCACGTTCGAAATATATATTTGATGTTATATTAGTTACAAGATCATCATTGTATCGTCTTAAATTAATTCATTAATTTTTTCATTAAACTTGCGTAGTGATCTGCATCTTTGGCAGATAATATATCGCGTGCATTTACAAAGAAGGACCGTTTATGACTTTAGAAAACTAGAAGAAAATACATAATATTTTCGTCGAGCAAACGAGTTTAACGACCTTCATTTGATCTTCCATGTTATTATTCTCGTTCAAGGAACTTAACTTACGAAAGGGGGAAAATAATAGGTACGTTTAGAGTAATACGTTCGAGTCGATGTCTCTACCGTATGACTGGTCGTCGGCAACATAACTTCCGCCATTCGAGTCGATCCAACCTACAACATCCACGTGGTCTGCTACGAAGGAGGGAACTTGACATTTGAAAATGGCCGCGTTGCCACGTATCGCGAACTGGTCGTAAACCTGAACTTCAAAGTACTGCCCGACCACTGTAATAAAGTGAAAGAAAAAGGATAAAAAGAGAAGAGAGAAAGAGGCGGAATACAAGAATGAGAGAGACCGGAAGAACGATTAAAAAAAAGGAGTCGGAGAGAAAGACAGAGAGAGAGAGAGAGAGAGAGAGAAAGAGATTGAGTGGAACACGACCACCCGCTTTGATCTCACAGATTAAAATTTCAATGAACTGAGCAGGGATCAACTCGTGAATTCGATATCCCACGATCGTACGATGCATCTATGAATCTTCGTCAGATTCACTGAATAAAAGTGGAATATCAATTAAACGGTGCAAAACTTCATCAGGTGTTCGTTTAGTTCGACACGTTCGTTAAATCGATTTTTACGAAATACCGATATTCTGAAATAGAAACAAACTACAAAGAAACCACCGAAACATTTCCAGAAATTTTTAACAGACTGATTGACCAAAATGAATCATCTTTTACTACAAACTTTATCCTTTTCAAGTCCCATAAATAATACGATCTTTTAAACATCGATTAGAAACTTTTTCGATAGAATTAACAATGTGTTGACTGAAATATTTAAAAAGATGCTCAATAGAGATCATGTTATTCTAAATCATAGACATCATTTCTTTTCCTGTGAACAATTCCTTCTTTTTGGCGGAAATCAATGTAAACCTATTAAGGGTGATGATCCTTAACGACATTACGAATCCATAATCATTTCCAACTGATGACACGTCAGCGATCAAATTTAATGGACTCTTGTTTGAACGATCACCCAACAGAATTTCTCTCGGAAAGAGAGTATGAGAAACAGTTTGATGGAAAAAGATAGAAAAAGAAAAAGAAAGATAGAGAGAGAGAGAAGAAAAGAGAGAGAGATAGAAAGTTATAGAAGTGGATAAAGCGCCGTAGGAAAATTCAATTCTATCGTCGGCAAATAGTCCCGGAAACGACCCTCTCTTCACCGAAAAGCGAATATAAAGTCGACGAGGCTGGTCTCGTCTCTTCGTAGAGAGACGGTACGTTAATTTGCTCTCGGCCTGATTAGTCTGACTTAACCTAATCCGAGGTTCCCAAGCCAAACGAGGCCACTGCCAGCCGCGCGCGCGTTTCCATCCATCCATCCATCCGTGTAAAACCGAGAATCGATCGAGAAAAGGGTAGGTGCAAAGTTTGCCTCGGACTCGTGCTTTCCATTCCATCGACCATACTCTTCTTTTTTCTTTTTCTTGTTTTTTTCTTTTTTCTTTTTTTTTTTTTTTTTTTTTTTATACACTGTGACGATCACCATATTCGATCGTATGCAATACTCTCCCACTCTAGGGAAGACAAGAAAAATGGTTTTGTGTGCGTACGTACACGCACGCGAGTGGAGAACCGCGTTACCCGACACCCAAGGATGAGCACGAGGTGTAATTTAATATAGTAATTTAATTAAAGTACTGTGTCGAATGCTCTAATGCTTTTCCCATTCTAATTTTCCTACTAACTTAATCACCAATAGTATCAAAAACATTTATAGCTCGCGTTTAATTTATTATAATTTTATTCGATTTCAAAAAAGAATTCAAGGAAAATATTTTCTGGCATGCCGATGTATCTACGAGAGCTTTATGTAAAATAAGAATGCAACAAAATCAACGCCGTTCGTTAATTCGTTTTTACATTCGAAATCGTACGACGATAGAAACTATACCCTTTTCGTCTTGATTACTAGAGGTATATGTCGAACCGTCCTCAACTGCAAGCCACTCGATCACGTCTACAAAATCCGCCACGAAGCTGGGCACAAGACACTTCAAGGTTGCCGTATTACCGCGTAAGACGAACTCGTCGATGACTCTCGTCTCGTAGAATTGCTGGACCACTGCAACGCGCCGTTTCCCAGAAAGAGATAGGTAGATCGTCATGTGAATGATGAATCATTACAAAACAGACATGTATAAAAATCGATATAATATCTCGATAATGGAACTGATAAAGATATTATTAAAAGAATCAATGATCAATGTCATGAAGTTTAAATAAAAGTTAAATTATAAATCATACGAATATATATATTATCTACATTAATAGTTTCCGTAAAAAACAGAAAGCATAAACGATATTAAATTAGTAATAATAATAATAATAATAAGAAGAAGAAGAAGAAGAAGAATAGATACAATCATCCTTTTAACAGAAACCAAGCCACAGAACGTCGGCCTTTTAGATATACGTAATAAAATAAATCACGTCGATAATAAGTAAACGAGACTGCGGTTTCTACATAGCTGCCGTTATCGCTCGACAAGGACAAAAAGAGATGGATAGATAGATAAAATGAGAAAGACAAAGAGAGAAAGAAAGAGGAACGAGATTTGAAAAGGAAAGATGAAAATTGATCGAGTCCGGGAATGTGCGATTGTTAATTATATGGTTATCGACCACGACGCCTACCGTACTCCTCTCCAGGCGTGTACACTGTCCCATCATCGGCAACCCACTGATCCACCTGAACGAACTCCGATACGAAACTCGGTATTTTGCATTTCATGATCGCGCTGTTTGCTCGGATCACATACTCGTTCTCAGCCTCGGTGACAAAAAACTGCGAAACGACTGCCCGCGCGGGCATTGCCAGGACATTGTTAGGCAAACGGGTGAATTAGAGAACAATGGTACGGAATAATATAATAAACAATGTGCTATTTAGTCAGAAAAATATCTTCCTTTATGTTTTTTCGATTAGCTTGGATTAATCACAAACGAATATGTTTTCTTCAAGACCAATCAATATATCTTTTTACAAATTCGAAGTGATTGAATAATATTTGTGAACAATAATTTAAAAAAAATTTTCTGAAAAATTGTATAAATTATTAAAAAGAAAAATTCGTATCAGACGATATAAAGAAATTTATAAAAGAAAAAAAGAAAAAAAGTCGATGATTTTGTAAGAAAGTATCAGAAACGAATTCGTGCAAATGTATCGATTGGTCGAAGAAAAAATGAAAGAGGAGACACGCCTCTAGTACCCTGCCCGATAACAGGATCCTCTGGAATGTAGACATCTCCGTCCTCTCTTATCCATGCCTCAACGGTAACGAATTCAGCGATGTAACTCGGGATGCTGCATTTCAAGATCGCGCTGTTACCCCTTATTACATACTCTGTCAGGATTTCCGGTTGGTAAGGCTGCGCGACGACTGTACGAAAAGCACACACACATACCAGATATACCTGATCATAATTAATAGATTCTAATCTAATTTTAAGCTCCGTTCTAATTCATTTTAATCCAGATTCGATGATAGATCGTTGTCTCTTTACTTATAACTCAAGCTGATGTATAATTAATTCATTAAATCAGGAAAAATCGGTCAAATATAATAAAATAGTAAGACCAAACAAAAAATAAAACGTAATTTATAGACGAAGTTTGAAAGAGAAAGTTTTAAACATGGAAAATAATATCGTTAATTTAAATACTGCGATACAATCGTACAGCGTGAGAATCATGATATAGTTAATCAACCCACCACTTACACATATGTACGTACGTACATGTCAACTGCCACCGCCGTGAGCCATCGGCAGACACCGAGAGCCGACGCGCGAGCGGAAACGAATCGTTTACCACGTGCTACTTTGCACACGTCCAACTATAACGTTCAACGCTACGTGTTACAAGGGAACGCGCCAATGCCAAAAGAGTCGAGGACTCTGGGGGAAATGAAATTTGTCGATGAGGAAGAAGGGACTAAAAAGAGAAAGATCGAGGGAAAGCTCCTCTTTTTATAGGTGTGTGTTTGTGCACGCGGGCGTATCTGTATGTATGTTTATGTGAATATGAATGTGAATGCGTGGGTACCATAATCATTGGATGGTCTGAAGGTCGAGCCATCACCTCCCACCCACGACTCAACCGAGACAAATTCAGCGACAAAGCTCGGTATGGTGCACTTCAAGATGGCTGCATTTCCCCTTATTACGTATTCCGATACCACCTCTGCCTCGTAATACTGAGTCACAACTGAGGAAAAAAACGACTGCTAGAAAACTCTCTAAATTGATTATTCCGTTTCGCTGGAACTTAATTCATTTTTTGAATGAGTATATCACAAGTTTCTTGCCGCTTTAGTTTATAGTGGCACATCACATGATAATTCAGTTACTCCAAATATTTCAATCATAATAAAAATAAAAATATTCAATATTTGAAAGAACGTGTAATAAAAAGGTTAGCTAATAATTTATGACGATACGCAACTGTTGTTGTTACATCTCTGTCATATACTATAAAATAATAATAGTTTATCGGAACTCCACAATCATCCTAGCTATTTATAGATTGCACGTAACATATTGTTTGCATGTAATTAAGAATTTATCATCCACAAGATAGAATATGCTTATTAAGCTACTTTCATCGCGCACGTTCGACGTTGACCGCTCTTGAAATGCAACGCTGCCTGCAACGTCCAAATATTGTTCTATAAAAATTCGGAGAAAAAGATACTCGTCTCTCCTAATCAAATCTCATCCCCCTACCATTTCCTTCCTGCGGATTAAACGAATTTCCTTGGTCATCCTGCCAACCGACTACTTGAACGAACTCTGCTACAAAACTCGGTATGCTGCACTTTAGAATCGCCGCATTGCCACGAATAACGTATTCGTTGTTGACTTCTGACTGATAGTATTGATGTACCACTGCAACGAACGACAACAATGAATTCCCGTGGCCATTCCTAAAAGAACGACGTTATTACTCATTCGACTCACTCTTCTCTCTCTCCTATCGCACGCAACCATCGAATAATTTTCGCGCACGCGATCAAATACATCATTTTGCGAACAAGCGGAAAATTAAAATATATATTTACGAGATTAGAAAATGAAAAGAAATCTCGTACTTAAAATAATTTTATTAAATACTAAACGGTTCATTTCTGCAATAGTTTAGTTCTCATCAAGAATTTCATTCATTTAATTGAAATTTACAAAATTCATAGATGCATGTAATTGCAGAGTTACATATTAATAAATTTAATTTACAAATTTAAACAAATTTTGTGAAAAGACATGATATTATAATCTTTCCATTATTTCTGCTTCAATATTGACATAATAATATATTTCATAAACATTTCTTTAAAAATAAATTATTCATTAAAGGAGTTAATTTTTTTTCCAGAATGTTTACACCAACAACAATTAAAGAAGCGTAATTTATATCGTGGTTCATTGAAGATAAATAACTGGAAGAAAATTCGTCGACGTTGACGAGAGCCGTAAGGATGAGATTACATCGGCTCTTTGAGAGCAGATCGATTCGCATTGTCGCATCTTACACCGCAGTCGCAACAGCAACCTAACACGCAAGATTTCACGAAACTGCACGAAGCTACACATAAAAGACATGTCTCGTTTTATAATCGAATGACGAACTATAAGGGATTCGTACGTTAAAAAAAAAAGATAGATATATACCCACATATATGTATATATCTATATATGTATATAGATAGATACAAAGGGAATGGAATAAAAGTCGTCGACGTGTTCCAATTATTTTAGAGTAATGGATAATGAGTCAAGAACAACATTAACGAAATGGATGACGGATTCTTGTATGTTCATAAACTCGATATATTAGTTCATGATACTTGTAAAGAGAAAAAAAATTTTATCTGGACCAATACATCCAATGCATTTTAGAATAGTGGATTTTCGAAACGACAAACTGCAGTGTAAAATTTCATTAACGTCTCGTAAATCGTAATAGATGGGCGGTTTTCTTAATGAATAATTTCCGTTCAATAACCCCTACGTGGATAATTTAACGGCAGTGGAATAAAACAATCGAAAGTGCGATGCTCGATCTGCTCAAAAAAAAGGGATTCTGGTTTGATACAATGTAATACGTATATAGATAACGAGTTCGTTCATTTACTCTATACATGTCTAAAGTCAAATAAACAAAAAAATACCAAAGTCATCGCTCAGTACGAATTCCTCTCCCTGATCGGTATGCCATGAAAGAACCTTAACGAAATCGGCGACGAAAGAAGGCACGACACATTTCAATATGGCGCTGTTTCCACGGATGGCGTATTCCTTGTTCACATCGGTATCGTAATACTGCGCCACCACTGTTTTCGTGTATTTTTTTTCATTGCGTAAAGAAAGAAATGAAAATTTTCTACGATTAGTATGAAAAATAAAAAATGTTCCCTTTCGTCTCTACATTAGACGATATTTTATTACAACTTTTAACTTTGATCTAACTTTCTTTTTCGTCTTTCTATTATTCAAACAACAATGACGATAATCACTCGTAATGAAATTAACGTTGTTACAACAACGTACTATACTATAACGAAAATGACGTATTTTCGACGTTTCTCGTTAAAAGCACGCGCTACATATATATTTGTCATCTCTTGACAATACTAATGACGTTCAATACTCTTACACGAGAATGCCGTAGACAAGGGAAAAGCAGAGAGAAAGATTAACGAGGCACAAATGAAAGCGTAGAGGAGTATGTGCCACTTATTATTCGTCATTATACGATAACTTTTACTCTTCTTCTTTCCCTGATTTTTCACTTCATTTTCTTCTTCTTCTGCCCTCTTCTTTTATTTTGACATAATCCAGAGATCTGATAAAAAAGAAAAAGAAACTTGTTCGCGAAATAAGTGCATTTCTTTATATCACGGAAGAATAATTGAGCCGACGAAAGATAAACGCACAAAAATAACTGCGATCGATAGTAAAACGTCATGAGGCGCGCATGACGTCACGAAAATGAATCACTAGACAAGTTTTCTAACCCCCCTCTCTCTCTCTCCTTTTCATACGGCAAATATAATACACGCATATGTAAAACGAATCCTCGCGATACTTCGTAAATTAAGTTTCTTTTAAATTACATCCTGAAAATAGAATGAAAGAAATAGATAGATAGAGAGAGAGAGAGAGAGAGAGAGAAAAAAAAAAGAGAGAAAAGAGGCATTGTGTGAATACGCATTTCACACAAATGCGACGGCGGCGGCAGCGATCTTTCTCTGTAATTAAACGAGTACATGAGATTCAAGTTTCCTGCGTTCTAACCTCATCTTTCCCCACCGCATCGCTCCTAAAAAAATCCATCTAATTGACAACGACGACGCGTTCATCACTTTCAAGTACGTGAAAAGTTGATATGTACTTGACCTTCGAGGATGTTTGTTTTTTTTTTAAACTTTGCTGGAAAAAAGGTTTTTTGTATTACAGTATTTGGCCACCTCTTTTGAGATTTATAATATATAGTTAATAATTAATTTACATATATATGTATATATATATATATATATATATATATATTTGTGTCTAATAATAAAAATATTCAAATATGAAATTAATTAATCAATAATGTACAACTTTTTCAATTGAACTATGTTATTATAAATATTAAATTTATTCTTATTTATTGAAGTTTAATAAAACTTTATAAATCTCGAGAAAATAAAATCTTACGAGATTATCTATTATTTTTGTTCTTTTTTCTTTTTCTAATAATTTTAACAGATGGCCAAACGACGGACTTGCACCGTATAATATTCGGGATGGAAGGCACTTACCGGCTCTTACATTAACATCTCGGCTGTGAACTGAACCGGCTGGGGAACGTGCGAGACAGCTGTAAACCTGAGCATGAACCTCTTGACGATAATCCTCGGCACGGAAAGGAGGGAAGACCAAATTTCCATTCGGTAGGACCTGCAGCAAGCAAAAAAATGAACTATCAAGTATGTACGTTCAGAGATTTTAATCTCGAGTACATAAGAAGTAGTCTTTACTTTATATATAAAATGTTTACCTCAATGTACGAACGCATATATAAAAGTATATATAACAAAGAAGTCAAAAATCTTATGGTCGATTAGATAAAAACGGCAGCAAGTAGACGTCATTAGCCGCGAGAATGAGCATTATGTATTAGGGTCGATTAATATACCACATCGTATAAGTATAAAGCAAACCAATGGAACTAACGAAGTGAAAATAATTGGACTGCCGATAAATAGCCAGAGTATGTAAATACAAAAGAGCAATAGATTCTTGTATGTCTTTTCACGGCTACGTATTCACAATTAATAGATAGTTGAATGAAATATCGCTTTTTTAATGAATGAAAGAAAATATTGTAGATATCACGTCCTTGAAATTAAGTTAACCAATTTTATCATAACGGGATCACTTAAAAAAAAAAAGAGAAAAAGTGAACGGAAGTCACCTGTCTCAATCCAGGAACGTCTCCAACAGCAGTGCCATCGCCACGAACCCAGATAATGTCCGGTTGGGGATTTCCTCTAGCCTGGCATTCAACGACAGCTCCAGTTCCATTTGAAAAATCGACTCTGTTTGGTGGTTCCTTAACGAAAACGGGTCCCATAGATTCATCCTCAGCGATAGCAACTGAAACAAAAAGCCATCCATCTTCATTAACTTATCTTCTCAATGATATAATAACCGTCGTTGCTCTGGAGTGGCCTGACCTAGTATACAATAACACGAGCTATCGTTGCAATTCTTAACGCGAATATCTTGCCGCAATTTCCTCGTTAACGGTGAATTGATCGATGATCTACTAAAAAACTTTTTTAACAGAAATACCTCGATTACGTAGTTAAATAATAAAGATGAAATTCTCTCTCTCTCTCTCTCTCTCTCTCTCTCTCTCTCTCTCTCCCTCTCACTCTCTCCCTCTCACTCTCTCTCTCTCTCTCTCTCTCTCTCTCTCTCTCTCTCTCCCTCTCACTCTCTCCCTCTCACTCTCTCTCTCTCTCTCTCTCTCTCTCTCTCTCTCTCTCTCCCTCTCTCTAATCGTTTTATATTATTTTTAATTATTTATTCTATCGTGTAACGAATCTTTGATAGATCGAGGACATAATGATTTATACAGGAAATAAAACAGATCGATAAAATACAAAAATAAAAAATAATCTTAGCATTTCGTGAATTTCCTTTTGCTTATCATTCGTTTCCTGTAGGATACGCTTCATATATCCCTAGACGCATGCGCATATACTCGACTGGCGTGTCGCCAATTACGGCAAACAACAGGTTGTCGGTCTCCTATTGAATAATATGCTGTCAATGTCGTATGTCTATAAAGAAGATATGCAATGCGTGATTCCTTTTCCGCTGTACCTAGCTTGCATTTATTGCAAAACTCTTGAAAGTGGAGAGTTTTAAATCGATAATAAAACACGAATGATAACGTTTCTAAAAAGGATATTGCCCCGAACTAGAAACAATTCTCTTTTAACAAAATCACATTCGATAAGATCTTGAGTGACTTATAATCGTCTTCACATGATTTCAGCTCGATCGCAGTTCGAAATTTTAATCACGCAAAGAAACGCAATACGATTAGGCTGCTACCTGAATTCGCAAGAGAATTCATCT